TCTATCTATCTATCCATCCATCTATCTATCTATCTATGTATCTATCTATCTATCTATCTATCTATCTATCTATCTATCTATTTATCTATCCCAGATGTACCACTACAGGAAAGAAACAAACTACAATTCTGTAAGGATCGAAACTCTGATCCTAATTCTTCATTTCTCTACTCAGGTGGCTCAGTCGGACAGCGCAGAAGCTGTCCTGTGCTGTATGTGCTGCCGGACGGGACCAATCGTTTGCCAATTTTCGCTGGACAAAACCGGCTTCGTCCCAGGGGAAGCGATACATATCCGCGGGGAAATACTAAACAACAGTAACAGAAAGATTGCCTCGTCCACAGCGCGGCTCATGATGGTGCTTCGTCTCTCCGTCCTTTGTCTGTCCGTCTGTCTCCATTTTTGTCTGTCTCCATGTCTGTTTCCATGTCTGTCTGTGTGTCTGTCTGTGTGTCTGAGTGTCTGTTTCCATGTCTGTCTGTCTGTCTGTCTGTTTGTCTGTCAGTCTGTTTGTCTGCCTCCTTGTCTGTTTCCATGTCTGTCCGTCTGTCTGTCTGTCTAACTATATCTGCCATCCTCTCTGTGTGTCCAGAGCGCCCCAGTCTATAGATTTTTCGAAATAAAAATATCATAGCAAAATGGTTTGTTCAACCTTTCTGAGCATTTTGTAACAACAACAACAACAACAACAACAACAACAACAACAACAACAACAACAACAAAAACAACAACAACAACAACAACAACAACAACAACAGCAACAACAACAACAAAAGCAACAACAACGACAACGAAAGCAACAGCAATAACAAAAACATCATCAACAACAAGCATTTTGGCTTCAGTGTTACTTTTCTTTTTTCATTCAAGAAATTGTGACAGCAACAAGCAGGAAATTCAAATACTCCAGATTTGTCTCATTTAGGCTGTTATTTTGGCCACTTAGCAGCTATGTAGTGCCAAAAAAGTATCCCTCTTAATTAATGAAATGTGGCTTTGAATGTTGAGTTATAGTAAGATTTTCTATGCACTTGCGGAAGAATACAGGTGCAACAAGAGAGTAACAAAGACAGAAAAGAAGGAGGAGAGATAAGGGCGATAGATATTAATTTGATCGAAAAGAAGGAGCAAACCGCACCGGAACACCTTCCAAACACCCACTCATTCAGTGTTTTGCTATAATATTATTATTATGACTTGTTGTTTTTCCTGCCCAGCACAAGGAGTACCACGCGGAGATGAAGTCCAAGTCGCACACAGTGTGTGTCGCTGAGATCAAACGTGGTCCGATCAAGCCTCGGGGTACAGACAGGTGGGAGGGGGATCCACTGGTCTTACCGTCAGTCCCAGCCTCCTACCTGCGGGGCTGCTCAATCATATCCTTGGCCTACTGGGTGGAGGTGAGATGGGGGGTTCTCGTGGGCGAGAGGTTGCGGTGATCGCCTCTCATTCAATGGGTCCCGGGTTCGAATCCGGACTGCGACGGACAATTTTTTTTCTCTAAACATGATCTCCTTTGCCTCCTTTCCTGCTCTCAAACAATTTTCTCTATCTTCTGCTTTCGTCTCCACTTTCTGCCCCCACCCCTTCACCTTCTTTGCCTCCTCTTCTGGGCTCCTGACTCTTTCTGTAGCCTTTCTGCTGCTACTCCTTGGCTACTTCTTACTGCTGTCTTTCAGCCACACCCCTGATCTTAGAGTAGGTAAGATCGAACACCTAGCCTTCTTGGATAAGGGCGAAAATTCTCGGAGGTCCCGTATCCAAGGTGCGCACGTTAAAGTCCTCTGGAGGTTCGAAATCGATAAGAGTAGGCTTCGGCCGTCATCCGGGGAAAATTCTAAATTTGTACCAATTGAACATGTTTAATGTGTTCCGCGCGCTCATAATATGACATTATGCAGTTGCGAAGGCCGTAAAACACTTTCAAAAAAAAAAAAGGAAAAAGAAGTGAGCCGCTGAGAAGGCGTGCTGGTTCAATGCGAAGAGGATTCGACTTTTCTACCTTACTCGTGACAGGGGTGTCGAAGTACCAATTTGAGGCTATACCATCCATCTAAAACATAATTTTTATATTAAATTCGTGTGATCATTTTGGATTACAATTAGTTTGATTTGCCCTCTACTTTCCGTCGTCCATTTCTTTCAATAGCCAAAATAATGATGATGAGCTTTACAACGACGACGATTATGATCATGATGATGAAAATCATCAATTCTTCCGGATGATCGGGATAATGATAATGCCGCTCTG